GTGTGTGTGTGTGTGTGTGTGTGTGTGTGTGCTCGAAATGCTTCTACATTATTTATGAGATTCACACCAAGCTTTCCATCTTTTACAGCAGGAGTCCTTGCTGACAGATGGTGGTACACACTCACACATACTTCATTGAGTATAGCACATGCTTGTTATCAGATGTCCAAGTACAGCAGGTGCTGGAAACTTTTTGAAATAGTTTTGACTATTATTATTATTGGTCTTATTATTAATAGGGGTGCAAGCTTCTAGAAACCCATGACAAACTGCTTGGATTGTTGTTTTTTATTCTGCTTCAATTCTTTTGCTCAACCACTGTTGAGGCAATAAAAACCAATCAACCACCTGTTCGGCGACTTTTACAATGCACTCTACAGACACAAGGCATGTCTTCCTTGTAGCCATTTTCATTTCTCTTTAAAGTCATTGGTTGACTTGCTGGATTTCTTGTTGCAGCGCATCGTCTTGTCATGGCCTCTTTTTTGTCCTTCAGATCAATTTAGTTCACTCGGAACAGTCCTTGGAATGTCTTTTGCATCCTGAATTTCTTGTCTTGGCTTCATTTTTGATTTTGGAGCTCGTTTGTTGAGCTCCTGAGTTTGTTGATGCAGGCCGTCATTTTGTTGGCTCATGGCCCGTTTGTCGACCTTCATCACAGTAAAGACGTCGCTCAACAGTTTCTCTTGAGCTGTTTGTTTTGCTCCTGAATTTCTTGGTGCAGCAGCGCCTAATTGTGCTGCTATGTGGTGACAACAACCTCAACAAAATGTGTTGTTATTCATTTTCATGGTCTGTGTTTGCTAGATCATGTGTCTCTCTCTCCCTGTCCTTGAATTGAATGTACACCCGCCTAAAAAACTGAATGACGCAGTGCATTTCAGTATGTCAGCTTTTTTCATTCTCATTGGAAAAACAATTGGCTGATGCACCTGTGCAGTGTTGGATGCTAGGAATTTCGAGGATCATTGTGGTTGCTGTTCAGGTTGGAAACAAACTGCACTGTATTTAACTATTCATCTGTTTAAGAACCACGGCGTCTTCCTAACAGTCTTCCGTTCTCTCTCTTCCACAGGATTGTGCTGGGTGTGGGCAGGCTTGCTTTTACAAGGAAATGATTCCGCATGAAGTGCGACGCACTCGGCCCCCCGTCGTCCTCGGCGGCAGCAGCAGCAGGTGTGACGTCGACGTGACTCTCTCCGCTATCGCACTGAGCTCACCCTCCAGCCACTAAAGACCTCTGGACCAAACAGACCGCCCTACCCTCCCCTCTCACCACCCCTCAATATCTTCATCTCCATCTTTAATCCTTCCTCGCCCGCTTGTTACGGTCTGGATTTTCTTTGTTATCAAGAAAAGCCCCAATAATCGACGGCCTTGGGTGAACCGAGTAGAGAGGGAAAGAGAGACGAGATTGGGGAAGATAATTTCGAGCTAATTAAAGCGAGACAAGGGGAAAAAAGTGAAAAAAAGAGACCGGAAAGTGAAATTAAAAGTCAGAGAGAACAAAAAAGAGAGAAAAAGCTATAGAAGGCCAAAGGTTAAGGAACAATAACGCAAGTGCAGTTTAGGGAATTGAGGCTAAGTCAGCATGAAGTCCCACCAGGAACGCAGTAATGAATGTCTGCCCCCAAAGAAGAGGGAGCTCCCCTCAAGCACATTATCATCTGACAATCGCTCACCTAGCATCCCGCCTGCCAGTGACAGCCAGCGCACTGAGAACATGGCCTGGCTGGCCAGTGTGGCCGGTGGGAATGAGAGTGCCGTCGGCGGACACCGTAGCTCCAGTCACTCAGACGGCCTCCAGAATAAATCCCTCTTCTCCACGTCAGACTCTTCATCCTCCTCTTCGTCACTGAGGCTAGTCTCGTCTCTTCCTGCAGTGTATACGTCGCCCCTGTCACAGTCCACAGTTGGAGGAACTGTACACTACGCCCAACTGCCTCACAACCTGCAGTTTATAGCCTCACCCTACACTGCCCCGTACGCTGGCTACATCTCCCCTCAACTGCTCCCCCCTCCTCCCCCTCCTCCCCCCCTCTCCTCCTCCTCTTTGGCCACACAGAGACACTCGCACGCAGAGACCGTCTCTGCTCCGTCGCATGCCTCCAAGCATGACTACCAGAGAGCGTCCACGGGGCGTACCTCCATGCCTCCGCCTTCGACAGACCACGCCCCTCACTATGTTCAAATGTCAACCTCAACACGGACTGTGCCGTCGCCTCATTACCACGGAGGCATTCACCTTCCTCCCCAGTCACTGCACCCCCACCACACTTTGGGACATGGGATGTCCCACCTTGTGGTGCAGTATACGGACGGACCCACTAGGAAAGAGGACGGTGGCTCCAGAACCAGAGAGCTCCACAATGGAGAGCTGGAAAGGGGTCGGCGGTATGGAGCGTCCCCCGAGTCCGGCCTCTCTAAGCCAGGGGGCAAATCCCGGGATGCCATTTCGTCTTTGTCCTCCTACGAGGCCCGCCAGCTGGTTCTGCATTCAGACTACTCTACTCACGATCCCTCAGGGCTGAGAACCTCTTTCATGCTAATGCCCAACAGCCACGGGGACCACCAGCTGTTGCCACCCAGACCCAGCCCCGAGAAGCTGACGACCTCTGCCTCCGCACACCTGGAGAAAGGTGGTATCATCCTGGGCAAGCCTGTCAATCGCACACCCTCCTTCTCCAACACCACCTCCTCCTCTTTCACGTTTCCACCCCCGTTAAGTGTGGACAGCCTGAAAGCTGCTGTCAGCTGCTGTCAGCCCCAGACCGTCATCCAGACCACCCACAGCGCTACAGAGTCACTGTCAATGGGGCTCCCCTCCACCATCTACCCTCAGCCGCCTATCATTGGCTACATTGCAGGGGGCAGTGGGAGCCAGCATACGCCAATCAGCTACCACACCAGCCTACAGCAACACTTACTCATTCCTGGCGCCCAACCGGTAATTATCCCCGTCAGTGGAGGTGGAGTCACCACATTGGAACCGGTAACCTCCCACGTAACATCATCCACCCAAGCCGCACCGTTCCCTACCACACTCCCACATACATACATCGCTGCCCACAAAGGAGAAACTCTAGAGCCGTCCAGTGCCTCGTATCTCCAGGCCACTTCAGGTGCGGTGGTCCAAGCCCATCTTCATCTCCCCATCATTTCCGCTCTGCCGGGGATGGTCGCTCCTTCTGCTCCTCCTCCCTCATCCAGCACGGTGGTGCCCCCCTCCCTCCCCCCATATTTCATCAAGGGCTCCATCATCCAGTTGGCCGATGGGGAGCTGAAACGCGTGGAGGACCTGAAGACGGAGGACTTCATCCAGAGTGCCGAGATCAGCAACGAGCTGAAGATCGACTCGTCCACAGTGGAGCGCATTGAAGGCAGCCACACCTCACCCAACTTTGCTGTGGTTCAGTTCTCTGTTGGTGAGCACCGTGCACAGGTGAGAGACGGGTAGCAGCCTTTGTTAGATAGATAGATAGATATATATACTTAAATTTGTTCATTACACCAGCAAAAAATATACTTAAGCAATTAAATATTAAGTATAAAATGCACAATATATACCATAACAATAACAGAGTAAAAAATAATAATATAAAAAATCCATAGTATAAACAATGAAATAATATAGTATTAAATGAACTAACTAAACAGTATTGCCAAGATTAGCCAGCAGCAAACAAACAACAGTGTAGCAGTGTTATAGTCTTGTGGATAATTTGGCCACTTAAAGGATTAGTTTGACATTTTGGTAAATACTGTTTTTCACTCTCTCATGGGCTATTGAACTGTAGCCAGCTAGCTTAGCTTAGCAAAAACAGCAGAGCTACTAGCACCGCTAAACCTCTCTTATTATCAACATTCAACATTGTTTGTTCAATGTGTACACAAATGGAAACCCCCGAAGAAACACATTTTGTTTTGTGTACAGATCGATGACACAACATGTTAATTCTTAGGCTTCAGAGGTGCCAGTAGTAGCAATGTATTTCACAACGTTGGAGTCGTGCTCTTACCCCCCCTGCTTCCAGTCGTTATGCTAAGCTAAGCTAAGCTAAGCAGCTCTCAGTGCTGTCCCCATTGTTAATGCACAAAAATAAGATATTGCTCTTCTCATCTGACTCTCTGCAAGAAAGTGAAACTATTCCTTTTTGTTCTTGATGTGATTTTACATGATAGCGGTTTATGACGTCATTAAAGCGCTAAAACCTCATGTCAATTTAAAAGCTCAGTGGAACAAAAACTGATTTGATTAATTGTTCAGCTCCTCTATCAAGCTCCTTTATCAAGTTCGGTAGATTGCCGAGTTAATCATCCCAGTTGTACTTTGCATCTGTGAGTGTGAGAAACGACTTCTGTAAGAAGTCTTTTATGCAGACTCTTAGACGGTGTTGTAAATGTTGAATGACAAGTGTTGAGCTGCTCCCTTATTTATGATTCTATTACGGTGAATCTCACAGGACTCTGCTATTCCCTTTGTAGGTGGTTCAAATGCACTGTGATGGCAGACATGTAACAAACATGTTCTGATTATGAGCTGCAGAGAAGTTCAAAGAGTCGAGTGTTGGAATCGACTCATCACATATTCAGCGAAGGCAGAATGCGCTGATAGAATATCACATTTCTGCTGCTACATGTAAAACTCTACTGTAGTTCGATATAGGTCACAAAAAACTTGTATAGCTTCGATCTCTCAGTAATCTCTTAACATCTCATACTACGCCTCGATGTATCTTTCTGTTTTCTGTCTCCGGTTTTACCCAACTCCTTCAAACACACATAAACACACGCACACACATGCACCTTTCTCGTCTTTGAGGGTGTCCGTTAAAGCCAGTTAATCTATTTCATCTGTCCAGGGCTGTGACTCGTCCACCCACACAGCACATCTCTAACCAACTCTCCCGCCCCCGGCTGCTCTTTGATACTGTATCCCACAAAAGCTGACAATCTTTCAAAGACTTCTCTTTCTTTCTTTCTTTCTTTCACTCCATCAGTGGCTCTCCTTACTTTTTTTTTTTTTTCTTCCTGAGAGGTGGTAGCAGCTTAAGTCAAAAATGATATAATACAGAAGGGAGAACATTGCCTGTCATTTGCTTTGAGAGGGTGTTTGATACATCTTACGCTTGTATTGTTCTTGACATTGTTCTCTTTCACATTCACTTCCTCACTCCTCCTCTTGTTCAACACACCGTCCCTCTGTAAACTCGCCTTTTCATCTCCATCCTCAGTAACTTCTTCCACTCCCACCTTCTCATTCTCGCTACTATATTTCAGATCTTCCTCCGCTTCATCCTCTTTCTCCTCAGGTTTATTTTCCCCCTCTTTCTACCCGTCATTCCTCAAAGCCTCCTCTGCTTCTATCCGTCATCTCTTCACTCTGTCACACGTATAAATGATAATGCAGAGCTAATCAGTGCTAAAGCTACAGAGCTCAATGCAGAATATAAAAAAAAACATAAATATGTTCTATCCCCTTCATTGATTTTATGTAATGGACCAAAAGGCTTGACATATGTTGCCCCTTAGGTCACCAAGACTTTTCTCTCTCATTCTCTCTCCTCCAGGTGAGTGTGGAAGTCCTGGTGGAGTATCCCTTCTTTGTCTTCGGCCAAGGCTGGTCTTCATGCTGCCCAGATCGGACCACCCAGCTTCTGGAGCTGCCCTGCACCAAACTGTCTGTGGGCGACGTTTGTATTTCACTCACCCTCAAGAACTTGAGGAACGGATCTCTGAAGAAGACTCAGCCCCTGGAGCTAGCCACCCCTGCCTGCGTCCCAGCCTCCGGCCACGGGCACCTCAAACCCCCCAGAGCTGTCTCAGACGCTCACCAAAGCTGCGGCGGAGGAGGCTCCAGGCACAGCGAGCGGGAGAACGGCATCAGCCAGCGAGGGAAGGGTGGGAACGGGAGTGGAGGGGGCACCAACGTGGTGAACGGGGATCTCACGTTTGGGGAAAGAGGGTCCGTTTCGAAAGGTCAGGTTGCCAGCGGCGCAGAAGCTGGCGCCAGTAAGCCATCAGGGCGCAGGAAGCGAAGATGGTCCGCTCCGGAAGGGCGAAAAGTAGACAAATCCGAGGGGGAGCCGCCCTTGACCCTGCCCAAACCTTCCTTCATCCCTTACGAGGTGAAAGTCAGCATCGAGGGAAGGTCAAATATTGGCAAGTGAAGGCTAGCAGGACTGTTAAATAACCATTGGGATTTGGAAAAAAGACATAAAAGGATTCTACAAAAAAAAACATGAATGCCCACATTAATGTTTCATTTGTCTTGGTTTAAAAGTTTTGTTTTCTGTTTTTATTTTTCTATCTTGAATACTGTACTGTAGAGGCAAATTGACCCTACATGGTATCACCTTACATTAAGTCCATATAGTTATTAATGTAACAACATTTGTTTTTTTTAGAGATGGATTTGATATCACACAAGCAACCAATGCCGCTTTGGTGGTTTTCATGAGATGACTTATGGTGAGGGATTTGTGAGGCGTGCTAGATGTTGATGGATGGCCGTGTGGCACACAGGAGCAATGCTTGATGGCTCTTCTTGGCTGGCTGTACATTACACATAATGCAGATTTCAAATTGAATATGCTCACAGTTTGCCTCTTGTCAGCAGTTTACTCCCTGTGCGCTGCTAGTGAGGCTGCCGAAAGCACTTTTCCGCCACCTCTTTGCCGCGCGCGCCACTGGTTTTACACTTGGCCACAGGAGTGACATAATGCCAGATGATCCAGAGCATGAAGGATTTGTGTGGGGGGGGGGGGGGGGGGCAGTTGGAAGAACACCATTCTCCATGTCTTGAGTATAAACAAACCGTGTCATCAGAATGTGTCGGACCTGACCAGTGATGCCATCAGGTTGTGCCAGTGTGCCACACAAAGAGAGAGGGAACAACATTTACTCTGTTCAGTGTGACGAAGGTGGAGCCTTTACTTTCATCTTGAGCATTTTCGTTTTTGTTTTCATAAACCCCTCGTCTTCTATCTCACCAGATAGTTCTTTTCAAATGATTGTCAAAAAAACCTTAATCAGGGGTCATTTAGTCCTAGATTGAACCTAGGTGGGTCAACGTTAATGTATAAATGTGAGATACCCTAACCTAATACATACAAGTGCAAACACACTGGGTTGGCGAACTTCAATTTAAGAATGTGTTAAAGAGGAAGACTGCATACAATCCTCCTTGTCTTTTGATGAATTACTTTATGTTTCTTTGTGGAGAAAGGCTGCGTGAGAGGAACCGAGAGAATCTGCATGTCAGCTCCGAGAGGGTCGGGACGTTTCAAAGCACTTAACAGACCTGTCGCACTCGCCATACTGCCAACAATTGTTTTGTTGTCTCTTTATTTTAACGCAGTACTGTATGTTTTTTTTAGAAATATTTTTTTTTATTAAGACAAGGGTAGAAAGTAGCAACAGCACTTTGTAAAGGTGAAGCTTTTGGAAAAGTGAAGGGGTAGTTTGGTAACCGTGGGAGCGCATGTGCCATTGGATCACAAAGAAAAGGTGCGATTGTGACAAGTTTTGGAGAAAATGAATCCAGTCGGTAGGTTCGGTGAGTTAGGTTAAAGGAACATTCTGGTGACGAAAGGAATTAGAAAGATGATGGTTTTCAGCATGTCAGCTGGTACAGTATTTGGAATGTGTTTTGAAAGTTTGGGATCCGGCAAAAAGGATCAACAAGGAAACAGGCTTTTGAAATATCCCAATGATGGTTCTGTGCTAGCCTATGAGCATCGATTAGAAGCTCACGCCACAGAATTTTGAAGGGTGTCATATATTTGTAATGTGTGTGCATGATGCTGGTCTGTCTGTCTCCACACACACACACACACACACACATACACACACACTTACACAAACACAAAAGAGTACAAACCATCCCTAAGACTCAAAGACCTATAATATGTACTGTATTCAGATGAATGCAGATGCTTTGTGGTGCATATCGTCCCTACTGCAAAGACACTAGTTGACTGACATTGGATTAACACACACTGCTAACAGCACAGAGTGCTCTGTGGGGTGTGTGTGTGTGTGTGTGACAGAGTGTGAGTGTGTGTATGATTGTATGTATACTGTGTATAGGAACAGGTTATACTCATTTGATATATAGTCGATGCTAAATGTCCAGGGTTTCTACTTGGAGTCGTACTTAATAGAATCTTGCAATTTGCACATCGGGAGGAGGGAGAAGGGCGGAGACATGATTTTGAACCGCTCTGTCCTGAAACGAGCCCTAGACCACGCGGCGCACTGGAGGAGACCAGGGTTGTTGTTCCTCAACAGGCACTTGACACATTGTAGAGGAAAAGTTTCTACATCAACGCAGTTAAGGTCAAATTTGAGTTTTTACGAACATAACCGTAGCTGTAAAACTGCATTTTAACACGTGCCTGCCTACTGAATTTAAGAGAAATGGGAAGGAAGATTTGATTTTTTTGTTTTTTTGGTCCAGCTGAAACCCTATTTTACTAAGTTACCTCAACAGATACGCCTGCTTGGTTGGCCCGGCATGTAGAGCTTCGTCAGAAGTTGAACACCCTCACGGACTCTTTCTTGCGTGTGAAAGCTCAGGTTCTGTTCTTTTTCTGAGCTTGGTTTTTGAAGTGTAATGTGAGGTGTGAACCATCTGATGATCTGCATATAAAATGGTTTCGTCTTTATTTCTCCTCTGATATCAGTGTAACTGAACTACGGGGGATGCTTTCTTTTTCAATTTTGAAATATAAATAAAATTTGCAGTTTTTAAATCCACCCGTGATGGCAGATAAACATGGTCTGGGATTTAATATGTTCTGGTCGTATTGGTGCCGTTCAACGTAAATGTTTCTCTTCATGCTGCACTTAACAACATAGTATGATTCGCACAGTAGTTCGATCGACATGTGCAGGTTGCTGGCCCGATAGTGTTGTTAAGGAGCTGGAGACGACGTGGCTTCCTGCAGGCGTATCTGTTGAGCTCTCTACTCAGCCTCTGTATTTAGGTGTCGTTATACTGCAAGAGAGGGTTTTTATTTGCCTCTTAAGAAGTGGATCAGTCGTATTCTCATCCCACTGAAAGTATAGGTTTAGCTGTGCAGGGCAACGCTTCAAGTGGTGGGAGTTAACCAGGGTGATGGCAGGATGGATGTGATGGTGAGTAAAAGGGTAGAGCCCCATATGAGATTTGAAAATGCTTTATTTTTTTATAATAAACAGGGTTTCTCAGATCAACACCGCAGTAGTACAAATTAATTTCTTCTTTTTCCTACTGAAACATCATGATTATTACTAGTAGAAATAGTAGCATGTGTGTGTGTGTGCGTGTGCATGTTTTGCAATCTGTGTGTGGCTGTGTGTTTTGTAAATTGTATATACATGTCATACGCACGTACATACATGTTTTTTTTTGTCCAACCCCCTTCCCAACAAAGCAGAACCAACAACATCTCAACAAACCTGTCAGCCACTATCAAAACCTTTACTGTCAGGTTAGACACATTTTTTAGCCAAAGCCAAGTGATGCTGATGTTTACTTTGGTTACTTTAGAAAGCAATAGTACAACAATATTCAGGCACTCTCTTTGTGTATGAGTGGACACACACATACACAGTCATTCCACTCAAATTCTCTGCAATAAAAAAAATCATAATAATCGTCTCTTATTGCAAAACCAAAACAACTCCTCCTTTCCTCCCTGAGAGAATATACAATCTTGCCATATACTGGAAAATGCACATAGAGGCTAATATACCTGAACACAACTCGCTTCAATTAGCACTATTCCCCTCATCATGAAGTACATTTTTAAATCTTTAGAAGTTGCAGTTGCAGCACCAGTTGCTAGTTTTTCAGGGAAGTGTCTCATATATGCAGTATCCGACCCCCAAAACCTCCGACGTCCCCGGCTGGTTGGAGTCATAAACTCTGTCGTCACGCTACAGGTCAGCATATGGTCACGTGCGCCTGAAAGTAACCAGCAGACATTTTTGACTCCGCCAACGTCTGCGTCATTGCCACGACTCCCGTAGTGACCTCGTTAACTTTGTTTCAGGTACCCAATCACAGCCAGCCAGCCTCGCACCTCCTCCTTGAGGCAAAGCAATCAATCAACCCTCAACAACCGATAGCTACCTTTCAGTGTGGCCTGGGCTGCCCGCTCCCCTCCTGACATCATCTTTTGATATTTGGTCTCTTCTTTTCACTACGATCTTATAAAGATCATTGTGTTGATACGTCATAGGAAATGCATACTTAGTAATAGACTATGAAACAAATGCAGACCCGCTCTGCATGCGGTGGAGGGAACGGCGCATCGCAGCAAGGTATCAACATTTTTTTGAGGGTTTTGTTGTAGTTTTGATTTTGTTCAAATAATCCCAAATTTAATCTTTCCATCCCCTTGAAATGTACCACAATGTGCAATACTTACATTTGTCTCTCTCCCCCCCCACCCCCCCCTCTTTGCTGTGCCAAGTATATGTTTAATGTCCGAATCCCAGTGTCTCATCCATGTTAATGGATTGTGTATTTTACTGTCTGTTGATGTGTGTGTCACATCTGTAAACGAGGATGTTTGTGAAGAGAAACAAACCCAATGGAGAGTTTTCCCCCTAACCGCTCTATCCCTTTTGTCCCAGCGGCCTTCCTAAATTTGAGCGTGTGTGTGAGAGATTGTGTCGTGTCTCCTTGGTGTGTGTGTGTGTGTGTGTGTGTGTGTGTGTGTGTGTGTGTGTGTG